GTCTGTTCCACAATCAGCTCCGGGCCTAGTTTTCACAGCTGATATTAAGCTTTTCCAGCGGTTCTTTCCACAGATGTAATCGAAGACGCCAAAAAACTGTGCGACATTCGTTTGGCGGGCTGCTCAGAGAGGGGGTACAGGACCATAGATTAGCTGGGTCTATTTCTAGGTTCTTCCAAGCCCTGTCTTGACTTCTCTTTCTGCTGGATATCTCTTGACAAAAATGCCACGGGCTCAGTCTCTCTTAGCTTCAGCCCCCCCCATGGGCTTTTCTTTTCTACCTGGCTGTGGGATGGTGGAGAGACTGTTGTTACCTTAGTGACAGATTTTATTTCTGCTCCTGTATAGTTGGTTGTCTGCCCTGGAGAGCACCAAATGGCTGCAGCACTTGTCAGTGATGCTGAAGGCGGCTGTACTGGTGGCGAATACAGTAGACCGTGAGGGCCGGCCTGTGCTGGTACACTGCTCGGATGGCTGGGACCGGACGCCACAGATTGTAGCCTTGGCCAAAATACTGCTGGACCCATATTATAGGACATTGGAGGTATTGAGAGGGATTGGGTGGGAAAAAGACAAGGGAACATTGGTGAGATGTTGAGTCCTCTGACTGCCTTGGGTATCTCAGAGGATGCTGGTGGCTTTGAGCTTTTCTGTGTGAAATTGGTCATGTTTTTCTTGGTTACTGTGAGCTCTCTGCTTTGGGAAGTCCACTGGGGCACAGCACACCAGCCTTTCCAGAGAGATACAAGGCTTAGGCAATTTCTTCTTTGCAGGGCTTCCAAGTGTTAGTGGAGTCCGACTGGCTGGATTTTGGGCACAAATTTGGAGATCGCTGTGGCCACCAGGAGAATGCAGAAGATCAAAATGAACAATGTCCTGTGTTCCTCCAGTGGCTTGACTCCGTTCATCAGCTGCTCAAGCAGTTCCCCTGTCTGTTTGAGTTTAATGAAGCATTCCTGGTAAGTGCTGAAAACCTGTGACTAGGGTGGTAGGGGATGCTGGCCTGAGACCTCAAGATGAAAAACATCTTGGCTTTCTAGGTAAAACTGGTTCAGCACACCTATTCCTGCCTCTATGGCACATTTCTGGCCAATAATCCATGTGAGCGAGAGAAGCGCAACATCTACAAGCGGACCTGCTCTGTGTGGGCTCTCCTACGAGCTGGCAATAAGAACTTCCATAACTTCCTCTATACACCGAGCGCAGACATGGTAAGTCAAGTTCTTATCCTATAGGTGTTTCCTGGAAATCTTCTAGGAGGAATTGATAAATCAGTAGAGGAAACACAGAGCTCAATTCAGTCACAAGAGAGCAAGAACAACTGGGACATCTCCCAAGCACTAGCATTATGCTCCTTCCCTAGGTCTTGCATCCCGTGTGTCATGTTCGGGCCCTGCACCTCTGGACAGCTGTTTATCTGCCAGCTTCATCTCCATGCACACAAGGGGAGGAAAACATGGATCTTTACCTTTCCCCTGTGACTCAGAGCCAGGAGTTCTCTGGCCGTTCTCTGGACAGGTAAGAAAAGCCCCTCTTCCCCTCTCCTCCCTTGCCAGGATGATAGCAACTGCTTCACACTTTGCATAAATATTGTTTTCTTTGGTTTGGGGAATATTTAAAGCATCTTCAGGAGTTGATTGCAAGAGACGCTTGACCTGGGGTACACTGTATTTTCAAGGTCCCTTCTTAAGAATGGTTACCTTCTATTCTGGAGCTGCTCTCATGCTGTGTGATACAAAACTTGTTTCAGGAAGGTTTGTTGGAATGGGCTTGACTATGACCAGCATTAGTTTCCATAAGGTACCAGAGGGTTTCTTGTTCTAGAAAAGAGGCCAGAACTTAGAGATACATAAACATTATCTCTTAGCTAAATATTTATGTAGAGGTATTTTGAAGAGTAAGAAGGGACTACTTTGTTAAGTTATAAGTTGGTTAAAGAAATGTTTTCTTACTAAAGATAAAATTTTTAAAACAATATAACACAAAATATGGATTGAGGTTTAATATCAAGAAGACAAAGATTCTTACCACTGGACCAATTGGCAACATCAGGATGGATGGTGAAGAGATTGAGATTGTTAACAACTTTAGTCTGTTTGGCTCTACAGTCAACACTATTGGCACCAGCAGCCAGGAAATTAAAAGACGTATTGCGGTTGCAAAGTCAGTTGTTAGGGACTTCGCCAAAGTACTAAAGAGCAATGGTGTGTCTGATACAGGTCTTTGCAATCACTTGTTATGCATCAGAGAGTTGGACAATGACTAGGGAGGATAGAAGGAGAATTGATGCCTTTGAGCTGTGGTGCTGGAGAAGAGTATTGAATGTACTATGGCCTGCTAAGAAAACAAACAGATTCAACCTGGAGAGGGTTAAACCGGGCTGCTTCTTGGAGGCAAGGATTGTGGGGCTTCGTCTGACATACTTTGGACATGTTGTAAGGAGGGACCGGTCCTTGGAGAGGGACAGCGCAGGAGGGGAAGGCCCTCTATGAGGTGGATTGATTCAGTGACTGGGGTGATCGGGATGGGTGTGTCAGAGGCAGTGCTATTGGCACAGGATAGAGCAGGGTTTAGGTCTGTTGTACATAGGTCGCTATGAGTCGCAAGCGACTTGACAGCACATAACAACACCGCCACCACAAAATATAATTTATAAAACAATGTAGAATTAGAAAGTGCAAAAACTTCCACCTTGATTCTAGTCTCTAAGATAGCCACTGTTGACACATTGGTGCCTATATTACATTAATAAATACATCAATATGGTTACGTATATTGTTCATTGCCATCAAGTTGGAACCAACTCAAAGCCTATCCTCCGGCAGGATTTCAGAGGCTACATAAATTGCACACAGGGACATTATTCATCTTTCTCTCAGAGCAACTAATGGATTTGAACTGCCTGTTTTTGGTTGGCAGCACAACTCTTTACCCACCAGACCACAGAGCACTTTTCATTTTTTTAGAGAAACTCTTTTTAGAAACAAATCATATTTTACATACTGTTGTAGAATTTTTTTCTTTTCATATTGCACCTGTCATCCTATTATAGCACATTTAAAGCTATCTTCTCAGTGTATGGTGGTGGGTTTTTTTTGTTTCCATTCATTCATTCATTGTTGCACTTTTCTTCCTGCCCACACCTCCCCCCAGTTTGTTCTTCCTTTTTAAGAGTAAAAGAGAAGTTCTTTCATTGTTAGACAATCCTTCTCCACAAGTTCACTGTACTATGCAACCTTTATTGTACACTCCTGTCATGACAATAATACCTAATCATGTATCTGTTTTAAACAGTTCTCTCCATCTGTTTCAATGCAGTATATATTATTTATCCCATCTTTCTCAGTCTTCCCCCAACCCCTATGTCAGTCCTATTCTACAACCGTGGCACTATGCAGTATTTGTCCTTTTGTGACTGAGATATTTCACTCAGCATAATGTCCTCCAGGGTCACCCATTTTGTATAGTATTTCATGTGTAGTATTCCATTGTGTGAATATACCACAGCTTCTCTAGCCATTCGTTTGTTGATGGGCACTTAGGTTGTTTCCAACTCTTTCTTGTTGTGAACAAAGCTGCAGTAAACATGGGTGTGCATATATCTGCTTGGGTGGCAGTTATGGTTTCTTTTGGGTATATTCCCCGTAGTGGAATTGCAGGGTCAAATGGTATTTCTATTTGCAACTTTTTGAGAAAGCACCATACAGCTTTCCATAGTGGTTACACAATTTTACACTCCCACCAGCAGTGAATAAAGTTCCAGTTTCTACACAACCTGGCCAGCATTTGTTGTTTGCCTTCTCAGTGTATGTTAAGCAATAACTTTTTCTTCTTTTTCCCTCACAAGTTCCTAGTAACTTCAAATCTACTTTCTATCTCTATGTATTTGCCCATTTTAGGTATTTCATATATATATGGAATCATAACGTCTTTCCTTTTGTGTCTGGCTTGTTTGATCTAGCATAATGTTTTCAAGGTACATTAATGCGGTGTCATGTTTTAGAATTAATTTTTTATATAGCTGAATAATATTTCATTGTGTGTATATACTAGATCACTCATTCATCTGTTGGTAGATGATGAGATTGTTTTTATTTTTTAGCCATTGTTAAGAGCACCATAATGACCAGTAGTTTGTTTGTGTCTGTGATTTCAGTACTTTGGGGTGTATTCCTAGGAGTGGAATTGATGATCTTAACCTATTATGTCGTACAGCTACACGTTGTTGTTGCTGGGTTCCAGTGAGTTGGTTTCAACTCATAGTAACCCATGAACAATATAAAGAATCCTTGTTCAGTCCTGAGCATGCTGGCCTCATAGTTGTTGCTGTTATTGTAGCTATTGTGTTAATCTATCTCATTGAAGGTCTTCCTTTTTTTTTTTTTTTTTTGGCTGACTCTCAGTGTTGTCAAGAATGAGGTATTTTTTTTCAGAGCTGGTCTCTCTTGATAATGTGTTCAAAGTAGGTAAGATGAACTCTTAACATCCTTGCTCCCAAGGAGCATTCTGCACAGTATTCCAGAATTAATAGTGAATTGTTACTTATATACCCAGCCTCACAGTGGTCAATTAGGTGACTGCTATTTTTTTTCTCTCCTTTATCATCACAGGGGAATGTTTTAATGAACATCCTTTATGTATATGTCTTTGTATTTGTAATAGTATTCAGTTAGATACATGTCTAGAAATGAAAATACTTGTTAAAAAAAACCCCCTCATTGTCGTTTGTTGGAAACAACTCATAATCATTTGAAATGACCCATTAGTCGGAGTTTATAAGAGACTGTAGATTGCACAGAAGACTGTCCATTTTTCTCCTGCCGAACTGTTTGTGGATTCTATACGCCAGTGAAGCGTGGCTTTCTGGTTAGCAGTGCAACTCCCTATAGACTGTGTCACATAATTTAAAGTTTGGGATTTTATTTTCTGAACGGTTGGGTTTTTTTTAATTGAAATATAAATTTAAACTTTTGGCTAATATTAAAAAGGAAAAGAAAAAACCCAACATCCTAAACTATAGGTTTTATTTATTTGAGTGAAAATTTATACAGTCTAGATGGGTCCACTTTTAGGGACCCTTGTCATGTAGGCTTTAGAATTAGAGGAATGCGTCCTGAATTATACACATGACACAACCTTGCTTGCAGAACATAAAGAAGACGTGAAGCACTTACTGCAAATCAAAGACCACAATGTTCATAAATACGGGTAACAGAAATCCTTACTACTGGATCAATAAGCAGCATTATGATAGACGGAGAAAAGATTGAAGTTGCCAGTAGTGGCAGTTGAATTCTTAAAAAACTGATCAACAAGCAGGGTGTTATTAGGTTAGGTAGGACTTTTCTAATAATTTGATTATAAGGAGAAGAGGCCCTGGAAATGGAAAAGGTTAAATTCAGAGACAATGTGGAAAAGTCTTTAGCAGGCTGTGGAATTGACTGAATGTTGGAAGGTAGGAGTAAAGATAAGTATGGGTCAGAAACAGGTTCCCAGAGTTCAGAACTTAGAAACTTGATGTTAGTACTGATGATTTACATTGAAAAGCTGAGAAGAACCAGTTTGGGGAGAAATAGATAAATGCTGGTTGATGAAAATATTAGATGACAGCAAAGGGGAAATGTGCTGAAAATGAGTAGTACAAAGTTTTTAGGGAAATGATTTAGGGAGCTAATTTAGTTTTAGTTCTGCCAAATTAATGCCCTTCCTTCTTTCTTCTTCAACCACTGAAATCTAACATGTTCTTCTAGGCTCAGCTCAAATCTCACTTCTCTGTTCATACCACCCTAGCTGACTTGAGTACTCTTGTCCTTATCCCTCAACTGGCATTACTTACTAGAATGTGTGTGCACAACTGAATCAGCAGTGGAGCATGACAAGGTGTTGGGAAAGTATCTGGGTGAAGGTTCTATGCATGTTCTTACATTCTCTCCTCTAACTCCTTTTTTAAAAATAATCTTTTTGAATGCAAGTTTACAAATCATTGCATTTTCATTCAGTCATTCACAGATTTCCCCTCACCCTCACCCCCACCCCCCACTACCCGGCCAGATGGGTAATGTAATATGCCCATGTCATAACAAAGTTTAAGAGCAGCACATGTCATACAAAAGCGTGAACACCCAGTCATCATGTTCATGAACCGGAAAAGGATCAGCCGCAGATATTTTTAAAGTCAGAAGTGTTGAAACCTGTATGGAACCTTTTATAGGTGAAAAGATGAAATTTCTCTACTCCTTTTTTATGTTTGAAAGTTTTCAAAATAAAAAGTGACACAAGACTATCAGCTCTGAGAAATTTTAAGAATACAGATTCCTGAACTTCAATCTTGGCCCTTGGACTCATTAGCTCTTGGATGAGTCCCGTTTGTATTTCTAAAAAAATCCATAGGCACTCCTGATTTATACGAAATATTGAACTTCTCTGGGCCACTGAATTCAACCATGAAAATGACTGATAAAAGCTTAGCACAGAGTTCATGTTCTTGATTATTTCTTTTTTCTTTTTCTTTTTTTTTTTTAATTATTATTTTTGTGTGCGTGTACCGTTAAATCAGATCTGACTGGTACAGGAGGAGATTGTCCCTCCTTACCCGGCAGAACATCTGGTGGATTGGAACCATTCACCTCTGGGATTGTAGTTGCAGCTCCTTGCCACTAGGCCACCAGAGCTCCCCTGATTATTTCTTTCGAACTCTAGCATGGATATTGTTCTAGTACCTGATTCTTTAGATTAGAGTTGGCTCCCATTTCCTGACTTGGAGATGTGTTTCTAATTCCAGATTGCCTAAAACCAGATCCATGGATGATCTTCTTTCTGCCTGTGACACAGCCAGCCCCTTGACTCGCACATCCAGTGACCCTAACCTAAATAACCACTGTCAGGAGGCGAGAGGAGGCCTGGAGCCCTGGCACAGCAATCCCGAAGGAGCAGAGACAACACTGGTGGAAGCTGGGGCAGGAGGTCCTCAGCAGATTGTAGGAGAAATAGGTCTTCCTCCCCCTCCATCTAGCAGCCAGAAAGACTACTTGAGCAATAAACCTTTCAAGAGTCACAAAAGTTGTTCTCCAAGTTACAAACTGCTTAATACCGCAGTGCCCCAGGAAGTGAAGAGCAGCACATCTGATCTTGAGATCAAAGACTTGGAAGAGACTAAGGTACCAGCCCCAGACCCTCCTGCCCAGGATGGGCTGAGTAGGACTTTGGATAGTGACAGGGAGGAGCCATCTGAACACTGTCTTGAAATAGATGCTGTCAGTGCCTTTTCTAAGGTCATTGTCAGCAAGGGTGATGGAATTTGTGATTTTCCTGCATCTTCCCAGAACTGCCTTATAGACGCCTCCCTGCAAGCCCAGCTAGACTCCATACCTGATGTACCCTCCAATTGTGCTTCAGATCCCAGTCTGGGCACCCTTTGTAACCCAGTGAATGCTGCCTGCCAAACTCCTCTGGGCCGAAGGCCTGGCTCTCTCAACCAAGATCCACCAGAATCTGTGGCAAGTACCTCCCACCAGGAACACCCCAGTTTTGTGCCAGATCTGATGCATGAAGAGGAAGATTCTGGCAAAAGAGGGACTAGTAGGAATGGGCAATTACTGGAAGATCCTCGCTTTGGGAAAATGCCATTGGAATTGGTTCGAAAGACAATTTCTCAGAGCCAGATCAGTGAGTTCTCTTTTCTAGGGTCCAACTGGGACAGCTTCCAAGGGTTGGTTACTTCATTCCCAAGTGGAGAGATCACTCCTCGGCGGCTGCTGTCCTATGGCTGTTGCAACAAGAAGTCAAACAGCAAGCAGATACGGGCAACAGGGCCCTGCTTTGGGGGCCAGTGGGCTCAGAGGGAAGGTGTGAAGTCACCTGTTTGTTCTAGTCATTCCAGCGGACATTGTACTGGCCCAGGAGGAAAGAATCGGATGTGGTTGTCTGGTCACCCAAAGCAAGTCTCTAGTACAAAGTCTGTTCCCCTGAGCTGCCCTTCTCCAGTGCCTCCTCTCTACCTGGATGATGATGGACTCCCCTTTCCCACGGATGTGATCCAGCATAGATTACGACAGATTGAAGCAGGTTACAAGCAGGAGGTGGAACAGCTACGCCGTCAGGTGCGTGAGCTTCAGATGAGGCTGGATATCCGTCATTGCTGTGCCCCTCCGGCAGAGCCCCCCATGGACTATGAGGATGATTTTGTAAGTATCCATCTGTTACCATCCATTCATTCTCACTATCCAACGTGGCATTTCATCAGCACTCTTTCATTGAGTGTCTATTACGTACCAGTGTATCTATCAGGTGCTTGGACTATAGGATGAAAGACACATTCCTTGTCCTCATGGGGCTCACAGCCTAGTGGAACAGACAATGAAAATGATCGTAAATGTTAGATGAAATGAGACCGAGTATCAGGCTGCATGCATAGCATGGAGGCAGGGTCAGAAGTTAGGAAAGACTGAAAAAGTAATACTCTACTTGAATGCTGAAGAGTGTATAGTATTTAGCTAAATAGTGAACAGCAAGAACAGTTTTCAGGAGCATTGCCTCTGGTTTAGTTTGAATGAAGGGGTGCGTGTACATATGTGCCTACATACACACATGCTGCTACTGTTAGGAAGGGTTGGTTAGTATGTTGGGAGGTGATACTGGAGAAGTAGACAGGAATTAGAGTCCATATGGAGAGCCTCATGTGTCTTTTCTAAGATTTTATCCTCAGGAGAGTAACAATCAGATTTGTATTTTAAGGCTATTATTTTACTCTAGCAGTAGTGTGTCAAATGTGTGAAACACTTGGGAGGCTGATGAGGACATTCTGAATAATTCAGATGAGAGATGATGAGGACCATTTAGGGAGTCTCAGCTGCCCCTGAGCCACCTGCTTCCCCACCATGTGTTATCTGCACATCCTCTCCTGTGAAGGCATTTCATTTGTGTGCTGCTTGCTTCTCTGCTAAGAATTCTTGAGGTGTGGCTCATTACTTCTTATCCAAGATGATCATTTAGAGCAAGGGTTGGCAAACATTTTTGTATAATGCCAGATGGTAAAACTTGTGGGCTTTGTGGGCCATGTGTTCACTGTTGTAGCCCTTCTACCTTACTATTCTGTGGTGATAGTTATAGACAGTATATAAATGGCTGGGTGTACCTATATTCCAGGAAAGCCTGATTTGCCAAACAGGCAGTTACTCTTTAGCCTATTCTGTTAAACCACAGTGAATAGGATAGTCTTTTTACATATTGGTATAGCATATTGGTTAAAAGCGTGCCTCTAAAGTTGGAATACTTTAGGTATTTCAACTTTAAAGGTTGAAATCTCAGCTTTACTGCTAATCAGCTCTTTAACTAGTTCACTGCTTTAGTTTCAGCATTTGTCAAATGAGGATAATAATAGGCATCATCAGATTGTTGTGAGGAATTAATTACGAGCATGCATGTTAGCACTTAGAACAGTGTCTGAAACCTAGTAAACACTAAATATTAGTGATGATGAAAATAATTGCTTTCTCTCTAGACGTGTTTGAAGGAGTCAGATGGCAGTGACACAGAGGATTTTGGTTCTGATCACAGTGAAGACTGCCTTTCAGAAGCAAGCTGGGAACCTGTTGATAAGAAAGAAACTGAGGTATGTCCAGGAATACATTATACAAGCCAGTGAGCGGGAGTGATCATTTATCTCAAAAGATGAGCTATAATCTATAGAACAAGCTCTCACAAAGATGAATGTTTTCTGTGTAAGCAAGGGGAGGCCAGCTATAAAGACAGACTGTGTTATTTTCTCCTGGGGTGCTTTCCTTTTTAAAATGTTATCCTTCTGTTCTGTTGACAAAGACCTGAAAGTTTTTCTTGTGTTTTCTGTCAGGTGACTCGCTGGGTTCCTGATCATATGGCATCGCATTGCTATAACTGTGACTGTGAATTCTGGTTGGCCAAACGAAGACATCATTGCAGGTAAGAAACTATTTCAAATTATTATCTAATGTGGAAGGGACTGGAGAGCATTATGCTGAATGAACTCAAGTCTCACAAGGACAAATATTGTATAAAACCATTATTGTAGAATGAGCATGAAGATCCAACACGGGGAGGGTGGAAGCATGGGATGAAGTTGTAAGGGGGATTAATCATGGGGTTGTACAATTTGATGGGGGTGGGGTGAGGGAAATTGGAAGAATCTGGTCTGATAAGTAATATATTTGAATTTTATAAATAGTATAAAATAAAAGAATAAAAAAATTTTAAAAATGCTGAAAAAAGTATTTCAGATTACTCAGAACGGCTCATAAAGCAATGTAGTATATTTCTTAATGGAAAAACTTCTGAATTATGCTGAAAATAATGATCACTTTGTAGGAAATATTTTTATGTTCTGTGTATTTTTCTCTTCATTTACTCATGTAAGGCCTTCCAAACTTTTTATATTCAGTGTATTGGTATTTTTTATTAATTTTCCTTCTTTATGCTATGACAGAAATTGTGGGAATGTATTTTGTGCTGGATGCTGCCACCTGAAGCTGCCCATTCCTGATCAACAACTCTATGACCCAGTTCTCGTCTGTAACTCATGTTACGAACACATCCAAGTATCTCGTGCCAGGGAACTCATGAGCCAACATCTGAAGAAGCCCATTGCTACAGCTTCCAGCTGAATGCCAGAGAAGATGACCTGTCCAATTTTAGCAGGTTTGAAGGGAGGATCTGCTTCAGGTGTAGTTTTGAAGGTTCCTTGTTGTGGCTCATGAAATCACAGAGCTCAAAGATGCCGTCTTGAGAAATCCTCCTTGATTCTATGAGACTGGAGCAGAGGAATTCCAACTTGGCAGGAGGTCCTCTACTGAGACCCTTACTTTGGGGTAAGGGTCTTGATCTAGACCCAGAGCCTGGAAACTTAGTGTTGAGTTGGTCACTCCAGCTTCTTTCTCCAGGGGCTTACAAAAGTGATGATTTCATAGATAATTCCTGGTGCAAAGTGCCCCAAACAGCAATAGAAAGGCATATGTATAACCAAACTCCAAGTGATAACCAGACCCATCTCTCCTCCACCTTGAAAAAAGCAGATTATAGTATATATGATAGGAATTTCTGTCCTATTTGAGATGAACTATACCCCGCACCTCTGTGCTCTGTGTCTGTGCATGAAGGCTCAGTCTTTAGAGGCACTTCCTCTAGTTGTATTAGTTCTGTTTTTCGGTGGAGTCTGGTTTAAAGACTGGTTCAGTAAGTGGAGATTTTGGTGTATTTTTCACTTGGGTCATCGAACAGCATCAGTGAACATACAGTTTAGGGAGGAGAGTACTAGGGAATACGACATTTTTGAGAGGAGGAGAAAACTCTGGCAAAAATTCTTTTGAGCTGTGAAGACAGTGGCCTCTGTTAACTCAGTGGCAGCTCTTGAGGTATGCACTGTGAAAAATGAGGAAATGGGAAAAGCGAAAAATGATCCTTGTGAAGTATCTGCTGAGTTGTCCTCTATCATTTGCACCAGACTTTTCCTAGTTGTCTTGGTGCTAACACAGGAGCTACACCTTGATTCTCCCTGGCATGAAAAGAAAACATTTTTGTTTTGTCCCATCATCCACCTCTCCCATGTTGTCTTTCCCTTGGCTGCTGCCTCCTCTGGGTCACACTGCTTCTTATCCTGAACACTTGACACCTTGAGGGTAGAATTTAGCATTTGATTTTTACCTCCTGGATTATGCTGTTTGGTATGTGAGGGTTTCAGTACAAATGCTGCTGTCTATTTCTGTGCACTTAACAATGGAACCCAAACAGAAGAGAATAAAGCATTGATACCAAAATTGGGAGAGAAAATGTGTCCATTAGGACCAAACATTGTATTATTATTATTTTTTTCATCTTAATATGTACCAGTGGCACTTAACCAAAAGATAACAGTGATAGCCATGTAATGTGGTTGGGACAGATACAGTCTCCTGGGCCTATAATGAAACTACTACAGTTTCTTTGTACATTTTCTTTTTGGTGTATAAAAGATGAATTACATTTAGGCTTATGTTGTTTTAAAACTATGATAGTCATCTAACTGCTACTTTCAAGAAAAAAAAATCATTTGAAAAGAACTAGAATCTACATTTAGAACAAGAATTGCTATTTGTTCTGACATTTTTCTTCAGTCCTACAGAGAAGCATTTGTGCTTTTATACTTGCCATGGATGTAACCTAAAAAGTTTTGGCATATTTAGGTCAGCCTAGCAGAACTTTTTTTCCCTCTCATTTAGATGGAATAATGGAGATTTTGTGTCTGAGAAATTCCTGAAATCATTGAAAAAGTAACAAAATATTCCTTGTCTCTGATACATAAAATGTGTGTCTAAGCATTTTCTCAATCATTCAGATTTACTGCCAATCATGAGTGGCTTTTTAAGTAACCTTCATTGCACTTAACTCTGCCCAATTTCAGGGGGAGTAAGATAGTGTCATTTAGAGAGACTGTATCTGTCTACTTTGTGTGGCTGTTGGAGGGACTGTCCCATCAGTGAACAAACTGCATGGCCTTGGAGAGAGACTGGGCTCTCAGCTCAGATGTATTCATCAAATACTCCTTTCAGAGCTCTTGTGGGTGTAAGTGACATGATGTGGCCAAAAATCCAAACTGTGCAGTCGCGTTGTGACAAACATACAATGTGCTGTAAAAACTCAATACAATTTAAATAAAATCTCTATATTAGTGCTGCTTTGTTGGGTCTTTTTACTCATTTTAATGTCAAAAAACCAACTCATTTATTAATTTTAATTTCAAAGAAAAAAACTACTAATTTTTCCTTTGACCATGAGAAAAGACTAAAACATCCAACAATCTGTTTTTCCCCCCCAGTGGACCTCTTTTTTTTTATTAGCAAGGCCCCTATTGTTATTCTTATTAATTGGATAGGTATTTATCCTTAAAGATACTAAAGAATTCATTTTCCTCCCTCCTGAGTTGTTTTTCCTCAGCTGATTTCACTCGCTGATGGAGCACGCACAAAGGATTTAAAATAGTTTCTCTTGATTCTCTCCTCATAGGTTGGTGCCTCGTTTTTTCGAGTGTCCAAGGTTGAATAAATTATTCTGAGCAAGATACTCCTTAAAGGATTGTCTTTTAAAAAGTATATCATATACTACCCAAAAGGGCAATTTGTTTCACTGGAGTCACTGCACCATCTCTGTTTATTGGAGTTTTGTTTGTTTGTTTGTTTTGAGATCCACGGTTAAACTGTTAGCAGAGATTCTGGAGTTTGGTGGGCTTTGTTCTCTTGCATGACTATGCCGCCCGATACCTATCTTGGCAGCTCTGGTGGCAGAGTCCTAAGGGAGATGCAGCGCTAACCCAGAGAACCTCTTGTGGTTCGAATCCCTCAGTTGCCCCGAAGGAGAAGGATGGGCTCCCTTCTCCTCCCTTGCAGTTTTACAGCCTTTAAAATTCTTCTGGAGAGTCAGCTATGAGCTACTTATGACTGAAGGGCAATGAGAGAGAGAGAACGCACATGTATTTCCTGAGTTCTAAATCCGCACACGCTACTCGTACAGAAATAGAAGAATGTTAGTATTCCACCCTGGATAATCGGACAGAGGTCTGATGTTTGAGGACGCCGGGCACTGGCGTCCCTTCGCAGTGTGCCCTTCACCGCGGTTCGCCTCCGCTGGGGCTGCAGACCTGCCCACAGAGGGAGGGACGGCTCGCGCCACGTCCAGGTCGCGCTCGCGAACTCGAGGCCCCATTGGCCACGACTGAAGGTGCTGCGAGGCTCGTGCGCCAACGGCTCCGCGTCTCCGGGGCGCCGGCAGGAGGGGGGCAGGGCGCAGCGAAGGCCGGGAGGATCGAGAACGGGGTGGAAGAGCCAGGCTCGGTGGGGCGAGCCCGGGCGGGGGCCATGGAGGAGGCGCTGCTCTCCACCCCCATCAACCCCAATAACTTCCCTGCAAAGCTGTGGCGGCTGGTGAACAGCCCCCGGTACCGCTCGATCCGCTGGGACGGCCGCGGTGAGGGGCTGCTCATCGACCAGCCGCTGTTTGAGGCTGAGCTGCTCAGCCCGCCCGGAGTGGGTGGCGGATCCGCCGCAGCTGGGGGACCCAGCGATGTCGGGGGCGCCGGGCCGGAGCCCGAGCTCTTCAAAACGACCAACTTCACCAGCTTCATCCGTCAGCTCAACCTCTACGGGTTCCGCAAGGTGGTGCTGGGAGGGCCGGGCGCGTCGGGCCCCGGGCCGGGCGCAGGAGGCGGCGGGCCGTCCGGGGACGGGCCCCTCCATCACTTCCACAGCCCGCACTTCCGCCGGGACCAGCCCCAGCTGCTTGTGCATCTCAAGAGGCTCACCAGCGCCAACAAGGCCAAGCTGGCCGCCGGCCTGGAGGTACCCTGCCGCCCGCCCAACCGCTTCCAGAGGCTCCTCATCACATCGGCCTCCGCCTCGGCCTCCGCCTCGGCCTCCACCTCCCCGCTGCAGCACCAGGAGCCGCCGCCCCCGCCGCCCACTGGGCCCCGGCCCGAGCCGCACGGTGAGTCCCGGCCGCTTTAGGGGGCAGCTGCCGCTCCAAAGGGCATTTACGCTCAGCCTCACCCTTGAGTCAGGAACACACTCCAGGGTGAGCGTGCGCTCTGTCCACCTGATACTCAGTCACATCACCTCCATAAACACCGGCCCTTTCTGCCAATGTCTCCTCTGAAAAGAGTCTCTTAGCATTTAGACGCTTCCGTGGCCAGTCAACCCAGAGAACCCCTTCGAACAATCATCTTGGTTATATAGACAAAATGGCTTCCTTTACAGCTAACAGGTTTTATTTTTAAAAGATTTTAGGAAACTAGGGGAGCTCTGGTGTCCTAGTGGCAAGAAGCTGCACCGTAATCCCAGAGGCCCACGGTTCAAATCCACCAGATGCTCTGCCGGGGACGGAGGAACAATCTCCTCCTGTACCTGTCAGGTGTGCACACACACACACACGCACACACAAATATTTTAGAAAACTCACATAGCCTTTGATTCCTTCCCACCCCATTCTGGTTATAGCTTTTCAGTATTGAAATTTTTTCTATGTATAGATCTGTATTTATTAAAAATTCAGAAGTCCTGTATGATAGTAAATTGTTCACCAATTTTTTTTTCTGATACTCTTAGTCCTTCTGCCAGAAAGTTGAGGATGGCCATAGTCCCGTTTTAAAACAATCAAGAAAGTAATAGGATAGAATAATGAGATTTCAGTTTTTGTCTCAACTAAGAGAGTAAATAGAACAATTTTTAGCTTGCTCTTGTGGACTTCACATAAAGAGCTGTGCATTATAATTTTCAAGACATAACACTGTTTTCAGTTTAGCCTCAGCTTGGGGTTATAAATGAGAGAGTGCTTTCTTCATTTGGAATTGGAAAGATAAGGAAGGAATGAGGTTTTGTGTCTGTGGAGTTTAGAAGATAAGCCACTAGGTTAGAGTTCTAGTAACAAGTTGGAAAAACAGCTCTGGCCTAAGAATGTTCTAAAGGAATTCTAAAGACTATTAAGCCACTTCCATTTTAGGACCATTGATTTTGGTGGGGAAAAAAATAGAAAAGAAAAGGAAATAATAACAAGGCATATTGTTTGGGAAGATCTCTGATACTTTTGCCTCCTACAGGTTGTCTCTCTGGTGGGCTTAAGGAGAAAAGATAAAAATATTTTCTCAGCTGGGACTTTGGGAAAAGTGACATAACTGTCCTTGTTACTTCTGTGTGCCGTGAATTCAGAGACAGTAAATCACATGGGGGAAGGTAGCCCTTCCTTCTCCCACAGAGCAGCTGGTGGATTCAAACCACCACTTGCCTTTGAGATTGCAGCACAGCTTCTTACCATTAGGCCACCAGAACTCTCTATAAATAAGCATATAAATAAGCATACACATGATCTAAGGACTGATTTTCTTTGTAGTTCAGTTAGTCAATTTTAAAGGTTACTAATGATTTAAAAAGGCTCTAGTGGCCTACTGGCAAGAAGCAGCATTGCAATCCCGAAAGCACTTGGTTCGAGGCCACCAGCTGCTCTGAGGGAGAAGGATGGGCAGTCTTCTACCGTGCGATTGACTGTCTCTGAAAACCTGTGAGAGGGTCAGCTATGGGTCTGTTCTGATTCAATGGTACCCAAGAACAACAACAATAATTTTAAAATGTTATACTTCTTCAATGTAGATAATACATCAGTTTATATATACCTAGACTATTGTGGCTTTCATCCATTTCCTGGTTTTTGCTGTTATACCTATTGGTATAGACCAGTGATATAGAGTAGCTACACTATACACTTGGTTCCTTAGAGAATTGTGCTGCTGGCTTAAATGGAATGTAATTCTGTTGTAAATTCAAGAATATTGGCATAACCTTGTATTGCTCTCATTCTGTGTTGTAAGTCCTTGCCTCTTCTGTTTTTCCCTTATTTAATTTTTATTCTATGTGAATTTTTGCCTTGTTTGATGCCTAACTACATGTTACTTCTTAGCCTTCATTTTATTTCTTGCATTCTGTTTCAATTTATATTTGATTACTTCCATATCTTTTGTAGTATAATTCTCTTTTTCAGATCTCATTTCCCTTATTTAGATCTGTTGAGCCAGTTGTTCTATTTCATGTCCTTTTTGTGTTTGCCCACTTTTACTGTTTTGTTTTTATTGGCAGTTCTAAGGTAATTGTTAAAACTTTGTAAAGTAACAAGTCTGAAGAGTGGATGATCTACCTTTGATAATACTAAAGTCTTAAAATGCAACTTTTTTTAAAAAATGCAACTTTTGGGGTTCTTTTCCTAGGGATTAGTTTAGACTATAGATGTAGACTATAAAGATAAATAATCTTTAAAAACAAAATGCCATCCTACCTTTCCAGAATTCTGGATTCACACTTTGCCGGATATGTTGTTGCTTTTAGATGCTGTCAAGTTGAGTAAGATCCACAGCACCCCTGTGAACAACAGATGTGAACCCTGTTCTGTCCTGTGCCATCCTCACATTTCCAGACACATTAGAACCTATTTAGCAATTACTGTGTCAATCCACATGGTGGAGAGAGTATTCCTCTCCTTTGCCAGCTTTCCACCTTTCCATGCATCATGTTCCTTTCCAAGGAATAGCTTCTTCTAGCAACATGCCTGAAATATGTGAGGCAAAGCCTCATCATCTTTGTGTCCAGAGAGCATTCCAGCCGCACCTTCTCTAAGACATATTTGTTTGCTCTTTTGGCAGTCCATGGAATGTTCAGCGCGCTTCTCCAACACCACAGCTCAAAGGCATCAGTTCTTCTTCTGTCACCCTAATTCATTGTCCAGCTGTCAGATGCATAGCAACACACTTGCTTTGTTGCCAAATTTACCTTATAGATATTTAGATAACATACAGGTGATATTCTGTAAAGTTGGGCAGAATAGAGCCTTATGAGGTATCACTTACTATTGTTATGAATTGGAACTGACCCATAGCTGACCCTGAATCAGGTTTTCAGAGGCAGTAAATCACATGGGAAGAGATTGCCCAGCTTTCTTCCACGAAGTAGCTTGTGGATTTGAACTGCATACCTTTGAGTTAGCACAACCCATTACTAGAGGAGTTGTTAAGGCCACCAAAGCTCCCTTGAGGTAGCTCTTAGCAGGAAATAAGATCTGGACATTTTAAAGAGTTCTTTATTTTGAGAAAGAGGTAAAAGAAGATCCTTTTATTCCTAGAAGTATTATTAGGTTAGTTATTTTG